TATATAAACAATAATCACTATTCATCATTACGTATGGATACCTAAACAGGTGAAAGTCATTAGATAATAAATTCAATCAGTCTCGCTTAGAGACTGGCTAGCCCGGATACTTTTATATAGCTAGCTATAGTTAGTGCACTGCAGGATAATTTATATGTGATATGTCACTTGTATCGGTAAGTGATATATCATTTAGGGCTGTACTGCTAAAAGAATTCTCCGTAATAGACGTTAACCCAATAACCAATGTATAATGGTAGTACAATCTACTAATCGGACTTTGTAGAAGGGGCCATGACAAAAGAAGTGGAATCTGTTAATTAACTTTTATAATTTATCCAAGATCTAGGAGCTAGTGAAAGTATACACTAGGGGACCCCTTAACTATATCTAGAGAATCCAATAGTTTGGAAGAAGAGCTTTCAAGGATGTTTATTTCGAAGAATTTTATATTGTTATGCTAATATATATATATCTCAGAAATATTGATAATCCATATTATTTTGTTAAAAGCCGAGAGATAAAAGTTTTGAAAAAGTTGACATTGATAAATAGCTTTTAATTATTAAGAGGGGATGTGGCACTGCTATTACTTTATTATAACTGTCATAGCTAATACAATTAGAATTATCGGATATCCCTAGCAGAAAACCAAATGGTTTAACACGAATAATATCTAGAGTTATTTTCTAAGCAATAGTTTGTAGAGCTCGATTCCTCCTCCGTCCAATTTCAGAGATCGCAATGGCCAATAGTTGGTGCTTGCTCTTTTCAAATCTGACCTAACATAATTATTAGTATATTAGTACACTAAGTATTAGTATCTAGCGTTTTATAATAGATGCAATTATTATTGTATTAAAGACATATTTTATTGCGTTTTTAGTATAATTATTAAGAAAATCTTTTTAATACCTATGGTTTTTCTCATCTTGTCTATTTGTGGTAGAGTAAGATACTACTCATTCGATGAATGAAATGGATGAGGCGCAACATACTGAACCTAACGTATATGAAAAGCATTCAATAATTTTTTAAATATTTTGTTTATAATATAAATAACATTTTAAGTTTTGTAATCGAATTATAGTTAAAATTTTGATAAGTCACGAAGAAAAACTATTCAACAGGCTCTTTTTTTTTGCCCTTTTCAATAGTTTGAATATAATATTAATACTGCTTTTAGATTTATTATGGAATTATAGTTAATTTCTGATTCGACATGAATCATTATTATTTAACAGGTTTCTTTTTAGCATTTTTACAGAATAGTATCCTTTTATTATAGTAAATTATAACTGCCAACTTGTGTGTCAATAATTTTCCTAATTAAAACACATCCATGATTTTTCTTTGCCGAAGGAGTTTTACCTAAAAGACTGTGAAACCAATTATGATAATTTATTCCTGTTTCTTATGCATATAGATGTAAAGGCTTTGCACGGTGCTAAGCTCAACTTTGATGTATTTTATCGGCAAACAGACCAGCATTGACTTGCGGTATTATTAAGGAACACCTAACACATAAGCTTGATGTGTGAGCAATCATTAACAGGATGTTAAATGAAGACAGGATAAAAAAATGTGTGGCCAATGTAATGACAGGAGATAAATTATGTAGCCCAGCATCATAATACAGTTTAAGCATGCCACGTAAACATATAAAATAAATATAAATAAAAATAAATGAGTGATAAAAAAGTAAATAAATAAATAACGAGAAATAAAAAATATATACAAAAATAACAAAAAAAAAGAAAAAAAAATTGAGAATAAAGGCTCATTATATGAAACTGTAACTTTTTGTCCGTTAACCCAATTCATGGCGTAAAATGCAATTATGCCATATATAAATATAAATTAAAATGTGTAAATATGATCGCCCGAGTATACAGCAATTAATTTCTTAATTAACCTACTGAAATGACTTTAATTATAAAATGAAATAATAAAAATTGAAAAGCAACACAATTGTACGCATATAAAATAATATTATTTACATAAATATTACTGACACATTTGTGATTAATAGTGCACATGACAAGTTTCGGTTTATGTGCTGATAAAAAATAATATCCTTTGTCAGGGTTTCATTGTACAATATTTTCACCAGGCTACAGACTACTAGTACATTTTCGTAGTTTAATGAATGAGTATCTTAAAGTGTAGTTAAAGTGCATTGAGTAGTTTTGTAGATAATTAATCAATATAAGCGCGCATTACATTGGCCTAATTAACGTAATTGAAAGTAAACAAGTCATTGTGATATATTTTCGTTTCCATTCGTTCCATTGCAACGTTTCTCGTTTCTCGTTTCTCATTTATTGTTTGGACTGTTTTCTTACTTATTTGCTGTTGATTATCGGTAAGGCCCAGATGTGCAACCCATATGTGCTGTGATGTGGCACACATTGATTTGTGCATGAATTCGCGGTGCACTCAGTTTTTGTTTGTTTTATGTATGATTGATATGTATGTACTTTAGTATCTGTATCTGTACCGATATCTACAAATGTTGGCATGTGTTTAGCCAATTTTCACCAATGATTTTGACCACCACATAGCAGTTACAAATGAACAATGCATACTAATATTTAAGTTGATATATATTTATGTTGAAATAATGTGCGTAAAACGCACTTAAACCAAATCTCTTTAAAATGTTTGGAAATTTCAAATGGAAATTTTAAATTTTTGGTTGGTCAGATTGTCTTTATTAGATTAGAGTCGCTAAATGCAGTGAATGACCACGCACTGTGGTTAAGACATATGTGTTAATGGCACATTTTAGGTTAAAGTTCAATATCAAAGACTAAGTTGAGTCCCTCAAAACTGGTAACTACAAAATTGGTAATTTTATTTGAGTTTTCGAGTGAACTAAACAGAAACAGAAGAGATTATCAAGGGTTGTCGTGATGCCCACTTTGGTAAATTTCTTGTAATCGTCACTGCTGAAGACATGGTACCTATAAGAATTTTTTTTTGGCTTTTTTTGTGTAAATTTTCTACAATCGTGTTTGTTGAAGATATCTGCACATGTGATACAACCATACAGGTCTTGATAGTATATTAACCAGTGTTCTACAGTTCATTCGATAGAGTGACAACTAGGATTGTATATACTTTTTATCGAATATGTGTAACTTTAATATACCGGCAACATGGTATGTATTTAAGTAACGCAAACCGTTTAATCGAAGAACGATAATATATTATAATTAAAGTTTTTATTCTCTATAACAAGAATTTTATTTTAGATAGTAAAAACTTAAATAGTAGGAAATTTCAAATTCCAAAACTTGACTAATTCATATATATTATAGATTGTAGATATTATTATTAATTATTTTTTATTTATAAAATAGAATTATTGAAACGTGACTATCTTATATATGAATCAGTTTTAACTATTAATATTAATATTATTAACTACTTTTCATTTATAATATAGAATTATTGATACGTGACTATATTATATATGAATTAGTTTTCAATATTAATATCACATGTTTATTTTTAATTTGACATAAATTATATTAGATACTATCACAATAATAAGATCGTTATTTCGTTGATTAAGTGTTGGAGTTATAAAATTAAAATGAGTTTGATAAAATGTGTTTCAGTAATGACGTTTGCTTTATCTCAGATAGATTTGTAATTAAAGTAAATTAAAACGAAACTGGTCTAGTGATTCAAAACTGTGTTAATTCAAATATTTATATATATAGATCGAGGTATTTCATTGAGTTTTTAGATTGCGATTGCTGTTGAGATTCTTGTTATTTACAAGTATTTCGTTATATCGAGTATTTCTTAAATCGACCCTCTACTGTATCTCTAAAATATAAATTTTGTGTTGAATTTTTGAAAAAAAAAATTTTTTTTTCTCTTATTGATTTACAAAATTAGTTGCGTTGATATATCATTTATACTAAAATTAATATATAAATTATACTTCCACAAATCTCATTTTTACTTACATCTTATTCTTAAGTTGACCAAAGCACTTTGGGTTTCCCCACGATCATTCGCTGCAGAACAAGCATAGAATCCCGCATGTACTCGTCCAACGCGTTGCAACACAAGTGAGCGTGTCGATATAATAACGCCCCACGATACATTTTGTGATACTGGTACGCCCTAGGGAATAATAGAAACCGTTTTTGTTATTAATAAAATAAATTTTAATAATGTTAAGAGTAAAAAATCCTAACATTTCTACTCTAATATTGTAATT